CACATATGTGGGCACATGAGGATATGAGTTCATCTTGCTCAGGCCAGACTGACTGGACAGAACCTCCCTCTGTTCAGCGGGATCTTATCTCAACACTGTTGAGGTGAGAAGAGAAATAGCATCTATTGCCTTCTATGCACCAGTGGTTTGCTTCACTCTTGGGAGAGTTTGAGTGTAGTGAAATATTGTGTCTGAACTCCGACATAGATAACTAATTGATAGACTGCCTGGACCTCTGAAAGGGGAATTGTAAGAGATTCTGATATGGGAGCTGTCATTTTCCTCTCCCCCAGCAAGAGATTGGTTTTGTTTTTTAAGCTGATGAGACTATATTGCAAGGATCTCCTAGGTGTGCAGAAGACAGAATAACACACTGGACCAAATAGTGTTACGTGCAACCAACATGTAAACAAGGCTCTCTCAGGTATCTCACAGAAAGAGCCTAGAACAAGCCAGGTCCTCCACTGGATTTGCAGACCTTTTGCCTTTGTGGAGAGAGTTTTTGATGGTCAAGTAAAATCTTAGGAGAAGTCATTTTTTGAGAGAAGATTTGGTCTATTGAAGAGAAGACAGCCACACATGGTAGATAGGGAGGTAACCTCTTGGACTATCATTTATTACATGTAGAACCTTCTCTATCCACACACACTTCTTTGGATATTGCAAATAGGTGTTAGAATGGAGTTGTTTTATATTCTGTTGTCTTTATCAGGGCACCCTTATTTTTTTCTTTTGATTCCTATTGGTGCTCGGTTGCCTTCCTGCCCCATGAAACATGGTATGGCTCTGTAGTTCTATGTTAAAGCGTTGGGTTTGAACCAGCTCGGCATTTGCCTGTTTACTGCCTCTCTACACATTACAGCTTCCTTGCTTCAGATAGTGTTTGAACAGACCGAAAACATGTTTTTGGATGTCATCCAGGGTTTGGCATCTGCTTCTCAATAATGCCATAAAAATGCTCTGTCAAATAAATTCTCAGGAACTGAAAAGAACACATTCCCTGCTCCATATGATTGTAGATAATGGAGGCAGGCTTCAGCTGACCACCTGGCTTGGTGCCCATGGCTTAGGAAAACCAAATCACACAACATCTCTTGGCAGTGCTTTCTAGCGATCAGAGTTAACTCTCTGCATGTGATGGATGAGCTTTCCATTTAAGGAAATTTTCACAGAGCATTTATCTCCACTGGGGCTTTTGGATTCCATAAAATATTTTAACTAATCCTGCCTGGTTGCCAATTAGCATACTACATGCTATGAAGTTTTTGAGCCCTAGGGTCAATTTTCTCTTCAGTAAGCTTCCAGTGTTAACCATGGAAAGAATAATTCTTTGATTTGGGTTGTGTGTATGTGTGTGTGTGCGTGTGCACATGTGCTGAGAGGAATGCTTCCTTTCCCAGCCTGGATATTATAACATCCTTATCATTCAGGGTCCCAGCTGGAAAGAGGTGGCATATTCGGCTGGTGTGGTGGCTCATGCCTTTAATCCCAGCACTTTGGGAAGTTGAGGTAGGCGGATCACCTGAGCTCAGGAGTTTGAGACCAGCCTGGCCAACGTGGAGAAACCCTGTCTCTACTAAAAATACAAAATTATCCAAGTATGGTAGCACGTGCCTGTAATCCCCACTACTTGGGAGGCCGAGGCAGGAGAATCACTTGAACCCGGGAAGTGGAAGCTGTGGTGAGCTGAGATCATGCCATTGCACTCCAGCCTGGGCAACAAGAATGAAACTCCATCTCAAAAAAAAAAAAAAAAGGAGATGGCACATTCAAATTAGGGAGGGTTTACGTACCAAGGGACAATTTTAAAAGGTGTGAATGTGTATGGCAAAATGCTAGGGATAGTGTAGTAATCCAGTGGAGCTGTTACTACCCCTAGATCAGAAGAGAAGAAAGGAAGGGGCAGTTACCAGAACTTAGAAGGAGAGAGGCAGAAAGAGAAAGAAGTCTGTTTCCAGAGTGACCTTCAGTAGAGAGGCACATGTAGCCAGGCTTAGCAGTCTGGCCGCCAAGGCCATGCACTCTCCTCTTTCCCTCTCACTCCTGCTGGGGCTCCCCATTGTCTGAGCCCAATCAGAAACCAGAAAACAAATGTCCTTTGATTTGGTCCTCATAGGTCAGCCTTCTAGGGTAGAGAGCAGAACTGAAAAGGCAGTGTGGATTTGAAAGGCAAACAGAAGGCATCTGGCACATATCCCAATGTAGGTGTCTAATTATTTCTAGGAGAGGCATAACAATCTCAATAGAAAAGTTAAACTCACTTTTATTTTTAAATAGCTTTATTGAGATATGACTGACGTACAATAAGCTGCACATACTTAAAGTATACAATTCAATAAGCTTTGATAGATATATACCTGTGAAACCATCACCACATCAAGATAGTTAACCATCTTCCTCAAGATAAACCCACTTTAACTTGACATTTAAGATATTATTCCACACGGTTCTTTTAGGAGGATATGGAAAGAGATCATACAGTAAAGCGATAGTAGGTGCAATTCCAAACTTACTCAAGTTATTGAAGTTAATGAGTTACCAAATGAAGTTACTGCTCAGGGTTACAAAGCTCATAAGTGATAGAGCCAGGATGGGATTTAATTCTCTGAACCTCATGCTATTCTGTTTTAAATATAAGGCAAACAAATTACTCACAAACACTTTAAAAAAAATCATTTGTTAGCAACAAATTTCTTGCTCTCCACCTTTCAGCTGACAAAGGGACCAGTCATGGCCTGGGTTGAGAACTGGCACTCTTTACCTCCCGTGTCCCCAGAGCCTGTTTATTCTATAAATCAAGAGCTCCCACTGCTGGGGAAGGCTGGTGTCTGGGGCAGAGTTGAATTTGAGACCACAGTCCCACTTCATACAAAGAAGGGTACCTCCCTGGCTAACCCAGGACAAGGAGCAGGGAGGTGTCAAGTTATAGGGAAGGGCAAGACTGGGCAGACAAGGGGGGATACCCTGGCATGCTGCATCAGGGGCCACAGTGGCACCCACCAGCACAAGAGCTGTGACAGGGCCACATCGAATTCTGGGCTGGCCTTTTGAACTTGTCTGGTAAGCTCAGGTCTCAGGGCCTTTGAAGTTTTTATTTCTTAGGCCTGGATTGCTCTTAACCCAGATTTCTGCAAGTCTCACTGCCTCACTTTATTCTGGTCACTGCTCAAATATCTCCTCTTCGAGAAAAGGTTTATTTCTTTCTCTCTTTTTTTGAGACAGGGTCTTGCCCCTGTTGCCCAGGCTGGAGTGCAGTGCAGTGATATGATTACAGTTCACTGCAGCCTTGACCTCCCAGGCTCAAGTGATCCTCCCACTTCAGTCTTCTTGGTAGCTGAAACTGCAGGCACATGCCACCATGCTTGGCTAATTTTTTTTTTTTTTTTTTTTTAGTAGAGATAAGGTTGTGATATGTTGCCCAGGCTGTTCTGGAATTCCTAGAGTGAAATGGTCCTCCTGTCTTAGCCTCCCCAAGTGTTGGGATTACAGGGACGAGCCACCTCGCCTGGCCCAGAAGAGCTTTCTTTTGCCACTCTATTGCAAGTGCTACCTCTGTCATTGTCTCCCTCGCCTATATTTTTCCTCATGGCAATGATCACTATTGGACACTAGAGCATCAGTTCTCAAACATTTTGGTCTTAGGATCTTTGTATTTGCTTACAAATTATTGAGGACCCCAAGGAACATAGATTTAAGTGGGTTGTAACCATTCAAAATTTGCCATAAGTTAAAACAATTTATAAATTTTTTTATTCAATGAAAAATAGTAACAAACCCACAATATTAACATAAGTAAGCTATGAAAAAAAGGTGTGTTTTCCAAAACCAAATAGTTATGTGAGAAAAATGCCATTGTTTAATATTTTTCATACATCTTTTCTACTAACAGAAGTTTGCTAGGTTGTTGTATCTGCTTCTGCATTTAACCTGTTATGATATATTATTTTTGGTAAAAATTGAAGAAGAAAAATCTGGCCCCAAACAGATCTGTAGTTGGAAAAGGGAGGGCTATTTTAATATATTTTTCATATAATTGTGGATATTCTATTCAATATTACATCAAAAGTTAACAAGTGGTCATTGCTTAAAGGTTAGTTGCTGTGTGGACCTTATACCCCAGGCACATTTGTGTGAGCCACTCCCAAGCAGCAGTCAGATGACTGCTTTTATAAGAAAAATTTGGACACTGTCTCTTGAGATTACAATTTATATAAAGTAGAATAAAAATGCAAATAATCATTTTATTATACTGTTAAATAACTCAGCTGGGCGTGGTGGCTCACGCCTGTAATCCCAGCACTTTGGGAGGCCAAGGCAAGCAGATCACCTGAGGTCAGGAGTTCAAGAACAGCCTGGCCAACATGGTGAAACCCTGTTTCTACTAAAAATACAAATAAATTAGCTGGGCATGGTGGCATGTGCCTGTAATCCCAGCTACTCAGGAGGCTGAGGCAGGAGAATCACTTGGATCTGGGAGGTGGAGGTTGCAGTGAGCCAAGATCGCGCTGTTGCACTCTAACCTGGGCGACAAGAGTGAAACTCCACCTCAAAAAAAAAAGAAGATGCCAAAAAAAAAAAAAAAAAAACTGGTTAAAAATTCACCAAGTTTTCAAAGATTACAGAAGCCTCTTCTAATCAAACACCAACTTTTTGTATGCCTCAAATTGAAACACACTTCGTTCTTGACAGATTCACACAATGTATTATTGCTACTTTTTTTGAGCAAGAAGTGGCAAGTTAATGGTTTCTAACATAGTGCCTTGATAAATGTTCAAAATGTCTGTTGGAATGGTTTTATTTGTCTTTCAAATCCTGTTTATGTCCACTACTTTATTTGAAGAAGAGAATTCTGCCTTTCAGAAATATCCTCCAGCCAGTACAGGAATAGAGTTAAACATCCAAGTCAACAGACATGATCAGTAAGGTAGGAGGGCATTTTATCTGTTTGTTCACAATGTTTCAATGTCATTAATCTATAATTTTATGTCTATCTCTGTAAGATCCGTACAGGTTTACAGCACCAAATAATCTGGCCCTGTCAGCCCAGCTGTGTTCCTCTGGATGAAAAACTCCTGCCACAGCTCCTTAAAGAAGCAGGTTATACTACCCATATGGTTGGAAAATGGCACCTGGGAATGTACCGGAAAGAATGCCTTCCAACCCGCCGAGGATTTGATACCTACTTTGGTAATGGAAATGCACGTGTTCCTTTAACAACTCAGGCTAACTGTAGCAATCTCATAAAACACACCCAAGTGCAATCAAATGAAATAACTGGAAATTTGAACATAGAATGAATCAGTCAGCACTGCAGTGGAGCTGCTTTCTAATGTTACCTCTGTCCACAGGTCTCTGCTGAGCTTAGGGTAGGCATGAGCTCACAGCAAGCCCATCACCTTTGTCAGAGTTCTAAATGCCACCTTAGGGCCTTGGAAGAGTTTACTATCCACGTTGGAGACTGCTGTACTCTCAGAGACCCTTATTACCAAAAAGGGATATGGATTGATTTTTTTTTAGAATTCTAGGCAAAACCTAATATAAGACTATTTTCTTCATAAAGGTTTGGTGTGTTTTCTTTCTCCCTGTGGAACGTATTCACAATTTTCTCTTTATTTCTGAAGGGGGTGGGGGAAGACTTTTCCATTAGCATCCTTCCATCTGTGAAATCTGTTTTTGTTTTTATAGTCACAGGGTTGGGGAAGGTAGATTTTAGAAAATAAAAAGAGGAGAGAGAATAAAAATTGGTAATAAGAAGGATAATAAGAAATAGTAATAAGTATTTTATAAACTTGATAGCCCTATGAAACTAAATGTGAAACCTGGAGTTTGTTTTAAAATATGCCCTCTTTAAACCTGTAACAACCTATGCCTTAATTAATAACCTGTGTATCTTGCCAGTAGCTATATATCTTTCTTTCAAGTTCTTTTTATAGTGAGCTGTCTAGCTATTTCACTACCTATCTACCTCCCATCTGTTTCTTTATTTATTTACAACCTGCCATAGCCAAAAAGGAACACATATTAAACATAAAAAGTTTAAATAAAATTAAATAATCAGGGTGAGTAGAAAAAGATGGAATAGGTTAATGGCCTCACTGTGTCACCCAGGCTGAAGTGCAGTGGTACAATCTCAGCTCACTGCAACCTTCACCTTCCGGGTTCAAGTGGTTCTCCTGCCTCGGTCTCCTGAGTAGCTGAGATTATAGATGCATGCCACCACACCTGGCTAATGTTTGTATTTTTAGTAGAGACAGGGTTGCACTATGTTGGTCAGGCTGGTCTTGAACTCCTGACCTCGTGATCCACCTGCCTCAGCCTCCCAAAGAGCATGAGCCAACACATCTAGTCCGAGATTTGAAATTTCTTTGTCCAAAGCGGAAAAAAGAAAGAAAGGAAAATACTGTTAAGTGTTACATTATTTATAGGATAAATAGAAACCAGATGTTCAGGAAAAGCAAAAGCATTTTCTGGTTCTTAGGTCTGAGAGAAATTTCTCCTTTGGGAGAAGGTAAGGTGGACAACACCCTGAAAAATGTCATTTTAATAATAAAGTGGTGGTTTTGTTGTAGATGTTTTGAGGTATTCTCGTCCATTCAAGCTAGGGCCAGAGCACCAAAGTGCAATTCAGCAAAAGTAATTGTATGGGGCCAAAACAATGCAGTTGAAGCACGTGAATTTGTCATGCCTCATTGGATTCAGGGTTAAAATTAAGATGCAGGGATGTCAGGCAGGAGAGTGTTTGTGCCCCCAGTCCTGTCTAGATCTACCAGCAGACCTCACTACTCAGTCATAGTTTTTTTTTTTTTTTTGAGACCGAGTTTCACTCTTGTTACCCAGGCTGGAGTGCAATGGTGCGATCTCGGCTCACCGCAACCTCCGCCTCCTGGGTTCAGGCAATTCTCCTGCCTCAGCCTCCTGAGTAGCTGGGATTACAAGCACGCGCCACCATGCCCAGCTAATTTTTTGTATTTTTAGTAGAGACGGGGTTTCACCATGTGACCAGGATGGTCTCGATCTCTTGACCTCGTGATCCACCCGCCTCAGCCTCCCAAAGTGCTGGGATTACAGGCGTGAGCCACCGCGCCTTGCCAGTTTTTTTTTTTTTTTTTTTTTTTTTTAATGAACCTGGATATATTCTCAGTACCTCAAATAGCTGTTAAAAATTAGACTTGGATGTAAGATCACTTTGTCATCTTGGAGATTCTAGAGGAACAAACAGCCTGTACATTCTTAGAAATTTTTCAATTAGGCCTTTGCTAAAAGATGGGTCAATATCTATACTCTGACAAGAGGATAGACTGTAGATATTTTGAATTTTTTATTAAAACCATGTTAGGTACTTAATAATTAAGCTGGACAGAAGGTAGAAATGGTGTCCTTTTATGAGAATTAAGAAGCCTAACCTGCACTTAGATGAACAAACACCCCACATTCATATGAAGGGAGACTTGCAGCCAAGAAGGGTATGAGACCACACAGCTATTATCACTGTTACGTCTCAGATGTTCTGCTAAAAATCAGATGATGGTGGGATAGTTGCACAACCTTTTGAATACACTAGAAACCAATGCCTTTTACACTTTAAATGAGTGACTTGTGTGGTGTGTGAATTATATCTCAATGCAGCTGTTAAATAAAGCATCAGAGAAGATTCAGTTGTTCAAGAAATATTTTCCATTATTTTCCCCCCAAAGCGTAGGCTGCCATCATCTTTAGGCTCACTATTGAAATTCAAATTTGTGAATCACTGTTATGATGAAAAGCTTCATATGATTGTCACATGGTTGCTTGGTATTAGTTTTGCCAAGTATGTGAATAGTTTTATTTCTGCATTTCTCCTGTTTGTATTATCTTTTAAATATTTGTAGTTCGTGCCTTTGCTAATCAAGTATACCTATCCTATATTCTGCCAACTGTTAGAAAGCAGTTTATGCTTACAGTTAAAGAACCTGAAGTGATTTCCTCAAGCTTTTATGCTCAGTAGTTATTAAAACCTAAAATAGACCTCCAGTGTTCTGACCTTCTAATCACCCATATAAGGGCTGAAATCATTTTTATGGATACATTTCTTTCTCAGTTACACATTAATTAACAAGGACTTTGTATTTCCTTTTCCATTATATACATAGGAGAAAAGATTATCGTATAAAAGTTATCTTAAGATCAAACTAAAATAGACCTTCAGTGTTCTGACATTCTAATCACCCATACAGGGGCTGAAATCATTTTTATGGATACATTTCTTTCTGTGTTACACATTAGTTAACAAGGACTTTGTATTTCCTTTTTCATTATATACATAGAAGAAAAGATTACCATATAAAAGTTATCTTAAGACCAAAGTATTAATTGTATTCAAGATCTTGAATTTATTGGATCAAGGAAAAGGAGAATTTAAAATGAATTGATTTATTATATAAACGATGTAAAGCTCTTAATTGTCATTATAGGGAAAGTTCAGGACGGAGGAAAGAGCTAGGTCAATTTTATCATCCTAATTTTAAGGTTAATAAGCAGTATATGTCAGGAGATAGCTAAGAGTCTAGCAAATCATTTTTCTTTTTAATAGCTTTGTTGAAGTATAATCACATACCATATAATTCAGCCAATTAAAATGTACAATTCAGTGATTTTTAATAAATTCAGAAGGTTGTGCCACTATCATGGCCATCCAATTGTAGAACATTTTTATCATCCCCAAAAAGAAACCCATCCCCTTAGCAGTCACCCTCTACTTCTCCCTAATCCCTCCAGCCCTAGGCAGCCACTTTCTGTCTCTACAGATTACATGTTATGGACATTTAATACAAGTGGGATCATATATAGTAGCACCGCTTATTTTAATACTTTAAAATATAGAAAGATAATATTTTAAAATATAGAAAATATAGAACATTTGCAGAAACAACTCTTAGTTGAGAAAACCCATTTTCTTCCATATGAAGTCTAAATTGTGGGATAGGCAGTTGATGCCATTTAAATTTGGGGCAAAACTAAGATCACTATAGGTAGAAAAATCCTATTTCAGTGCTGACTTTAGTTTGATATATTAGCTCTGTTACTTCTAGAGATCCTCTATTGGAAAGGTTTGTATCTTTCACCAGTGGGTGTCAGCATCTGACTAAAGATGACTCCTCCTAGAACCACTTCTATAAATAACCTTGAAGCCAGTCTCCCAACATCAGTAACAACAAACATTATTTGAATCCTGCACTCATTTATGTGATCACTTTAGAGTAAAAACTTCTAACAAGCCACATTCGCTATACATTATTTTACCTTTATATAGCTTTAAAGGATTAAGATATTATCACCCTTACTGAATTCAACTCTGATTTAAAAAAAAAAAACTGTTACTGTTACGTGATAGAGCCTATATTCTAAAGACGAATGAGGAACATATTTGAGTTTTTATACACTAATGTTTTAATGCTTCCTGTTACCAGATACAGAGATGTTGAGAAACGGTGCTGATTAGCCTTGTCATTTGATTAGCCTACTCACGGGTGATCAACTGCATTAGGCAATTAAATGCTGAAACATTAGTTTAACAAGTTTTATGCTGTGCTATTTTTTTTCCATTCTTGTAGGATATCTCCTGGGTAGTGAAGATTATTATTCCCATGAGCGCTGTACATTAATTGACGCTCTGAATGTTACACGATGTGCTCTTGATTTCCGAGATGGTGAAGAAGTTGCAACAGGATATAAAAATATGTATTCAACAAACATATTCACCAAAAGGGCTACAACCCTCATAACTAACCATCCACCAGAGAAGGTAAGTTTTGCTTCTATTTACTGATAGCAAAATCTTACTATGCTAATGTCTTTTCAGACGAATGTAGGAAAAGGCCATTGTTGTTTAGGGAAAAGTCTAATAAATTCTAGGAAGTCCTTTTCAAATTATACAATACCCCAGAATCAACCTAGGAAGCTTGTTAAAAATGAAGATTCCTGGAGCCTACTTCCAGGGTGTGATTTATTAGGTGTGGGAGAAATCCTTACATCAGCATTTTAGAGAAATTCTTAAAAGGTGATTCTTAAGAGTGGTCCCCAGATCATGCTTTGAAGAATACTGTGTTGGAAGTGTTTCAATAGAAATATGTTTTAAATTTTTGGTATATTATGTGCATGCGTTGTGAGTAATTAATAAAATGACTCTTAAAAAATGATTGTCTTATATATAAAATGAGGCTTTATTATGACAAACTTTTGTTTAAAAGATCCATAAATTTTCGGATCAGGGCAGGTCCTCTAATCTTGTACTTCCTCCCAGCAAGAATATTTTGCTATTCTAGATCTTTTGCATTCTCATGTTAATATTAGAATCACCTAGTCAATTTCTATTTGCCAGCTCCCCAAAAGTGTCTGCTTGGATTTGGATTTGAATCTATAGAACAATTTGGGGAGAGTGGATGTCTTAAAAATATTGGGTCTTCTAATCCATATACCTGGTATATTGATGAAGCTATTGTGTATATCATCAGTAATCTTATTATTATAATTATTTTGTTAACTTTACTCATGAGGTAAAATTTAAGCTAAGTTCTCTGGATTTAGCTTATAAATGCTTTTGAAATGGGAACAAATATTTGTGTTGTCAGACACTGGTCTCAAAATATGGCTTCATTAAGAACACCTATAAATAACCCATAAAAATAATACTTCAGTGATACCCTGCACAACAAATTATAGAATCTGTAGTGCTTCCTGGTTCTTCTAATTTCCTACTCTGCCTCTTTGACAATGCCTGAAGGCCCTTGGTGCAGGTCTTTCTTAGTCTGTTTGTGCTGCTGTAAAGGAATAGGTGAGGCTGGGTAATTTATAAAGAAAAGAGGTTTATTTGGCTCATGGTGCTGCAGACTCTATAAGAAGCATGGCACCAGCATTTGCTTCTGGGTGAGGGCTTCAGGAAGCTTCCACTCATAATGGAAGGTGAAGCTGAGCTGGTGTGTACAGATCACATGGCTGGAGGGGAGAGAGACGAGAGAGAGAGAGAGAGAGAGAGAGAGAGAGAGGCCAGACTCTTTTTAACAACCAGCTCTCTCAGGAACTAATATAGTGAGAACTTATTCATAACTGCAAAGATGGCATGAAGCCATTTGTGAAGGACCCACCTCCATGACCCAGACACCTCCCAACAGGCCCCCACTGGGGATCAAATTTAAACGTGAGATTTGGACGAGGGTCAAATATCTAAACTAGAAGAAGATCACCATGTGGATTCTGGTTTACATACCTGTTTGAACTTGGTATGTGGCTGTTAATTTCCTTTTCATTTTCTGCCTACTTGAACTCAGTACTGGAAATCTTCCCTGGTTGAGTTAAATGCCAGATTGCTGGCATCCTCCTTTGACTTCCACAAGCTAAGGTAAAATCTTCCAGAAGACAACTTTACCTTGAACTTCAAATTATATTTACACCGTCAAATGTTATACAACTCCTGACATTCAATAGACAACTCCTGACATTCAGTAAAAAATAATCAAGCACATACAGAAGTTAAAACACAGAAACAAGTATCTGTCCTCAGCTGTGTCCCACTTTTGGCTATCACTCTCATATGCAGATATCTTGAAGCAACCATGCTTTCTGTGGAACATGAAGAAATGGGAACATTCTCTGAAAAATGTGGAAATACACAGATTTTAAATCTAAATCTAAACAAATATTCAGATAATTGGAAAAACAGCTGCTAGGTAATTGGCTTAAGTTCTCAGTTTTCTTTTATATATTTGACATTTTATGGATGTGGCTTAACACTTAACAAGGTATTCTTAAGAGAACCATGTATTATTCTTTGAGGGAGATACCATTTTACACATAAGCAAACTGGCTTAGAGAAGTTATGTAACTTGTTCAAGGTCACAGAGCTATTGAGAGTCAGAATCAGAATTTAAACTCATGCTCTCTGACTCCAGACCTCATGCACTTAATCAGCCTCCCTAGTTCACAGCTAATATCCAAGACCAGAGATTCTGAGTCCCAGCTCATGATTCATCTTAATGATTTCAGTCCTGACCGTCTATTAGAATCATCTGGGAAACTTATAAGAAATACTGATGCCAAATATTGTGATTCATTGATCTGAGGTGGGACCCAGGCATTGGTACTTTGTTATTCCTCCTCCCCAGCTCCTACCAGTGATTCTAATGTGCAGCCACCACTGACACCTGGTGCAGTGAGAGCCATTCTAGGATGGGTCATTCAGGGCATTCCTTTCAAATATGGAGAGGCAAGCAGAAGCCAACTACATATTACAGGTTCACAATCTACCTTAATCATGCAGCAACTGTAATCTGCCCACAATGCAAATTCATTCCTACTAAAGAACAATAGAATATTCCCTCACAGGGTTCCAAAACATTAAGCAGATAAAAAGAAGCAGCTGAAGTCAAATAGATCTTTGTGGGTGGGCTGTCTTAACTGGGGCGCGGGAGAGAAGCTTGGGGACTGAGGACAATGGGAAGCCCTAAGAACTTGCTAGCCACGAAAGGAGTGTTATTAGCATGGCCGCTGTTCATATTTGTTTGGAAAGTGCCAGATGAGAGAATGGTCATTTTCCTATCATATCTGAAACATTCTATAGCAGTATCCAACATTCCCAATATCCTCAAAGAAAAGTTTCAATCATAGACATAAGCGAATGAAATAATTAAGAGTCAAGCTGTAACCCAAGAATGTTTAAGACAGCTAATACATGCTTACATTTTCAGTTCAGTATAAAATGATGCAACTCACCAGTTTGGGGAGCTGTACTTTTCATGATTTTATCCTGAGGTTTAATCTAATTCTGGGCTAATTTCTCAGATACTATATATAGATTGTAACATAAGCAACTTGTTCTAAGATAAAAATCATTAAAGAAAAGCACATGAAAAATTCACAGGCTAACTTAAAATTGCACCTATTTTAAAAAACACTTGAGGGGGAAAAAGCATTTGGAGGTAGTTCATAACCGAAACACAGTTGCTGATGCTGCACTCAGGAAGGTCCTGCTAATTACTTTCACATGTGTTAAGAAGGAATGTCCTTCCTCTTTTTCAGCAGGATGATTCCCCCTAGTAGTGACACTATAGACTGAAAGTAACATATTCGTAAAATATCTCTTTTAAAAACAGCCCCCCACATAAACACTTTGCAGAATGGAAGCAAGTGTTATATTATACACCTGATCTACTAGTAGCTTCTTGAGGAAAATGTTAATTTCTAGTGGAAGACTTTTACTTTTCCCTGACACAATTTGGAAAAAAAAAAGTCTTTATTTAGAAGTCAAAGATAGAAAAGCAGTTTCAAAACCTATCATATGCTTTTCTTTATTTATACTTTAAATTAGGAAAATATACTAAAGAAATGAAAATAAGACTTTCTTCCTCACTGAAATAAGATTTCTTAGCATGATGAGGATATTTACAGTATATATCTTAGCAACCATATGGCATAAATAAGGGAAAAGAACTCCTAATATCTCAGACATGAATATGCTGATAGCTTTAGGTGATAATGTCTTGCTTTTATGTAATACTTAGATATTTAGTCATGATTTCATGCCTAGGATTTTATTTTACATTCATCAGATACTGTTACAGGTAGGGTTGGTGCAAAGGCAGCAACTGTGACAGTTGATCAGAACAGGGTTCTGGACCTAAGAAAAAGCAGGGGAGAGATCAGGCTCCAGCAATGGCAGCTGCTGGCTTTAGGCTGACAGTGAGCTGAGCTCTAGTTGGCAGGAGTGGGAAAATTGACCACAGCTGTTCACAGGCAGAGTCCCAGGACTGGTGGCTGCAGATGGGGTCCTCATTGTGGTTGGAGAACCTTAGATCCCTCGTTAATTCTTTCCACTGGGCCACCATATAGTGTTAAAAACACTACTCTCTTTCTTTTTTCAATTTAAAAATAGTATAGAAGTGTTTCGCATTTACCACTGTTGGGGAATGGATTATAATATTTCATGAATAAAGTTCATTTTCTGAGTGTTGAAACTTTATTTTCTTTAGTATGGGATGGAAATATCTAAAATGTGCATCAGTCCTGACCTCTTGAAATGGGCTATACTACCCATCATTCTGCCACCTCTTCGTGACCAACAGCCATACTGTTGTGTGTAAGGCTGTCTACCCACACACTTATTAGCCCTAGACTGCTGCTGATGAGATGGAGAAAAAGATAACTTTTTTGTTCAAGGACTACCTTAATCTATACCTCTAAGTTATTAGGTCTGGTAAGCAGGTTGCATGCCTTTCCATGGCCTGTGACAGTCACATGCCAGGCTGGTCCTCACCACTCAGAGGCTGTTTTCACTTCCTCTTTTCATTCATGTCCCTTCTGTTTGAGTCAAGGGTCTGACCACTGGACTGATCAGGACTGGTGTAATTTTTTATTTTTAACCCCTCAAAAGTGTCAACTTAAAATAATGAAAAGGATCAGAATCTAGTTTCAAGAGACTTTATTCAAGTACAGAGTTTAAGGATGGCCTCTTGGGAAGCACAGATTCCAAAGAATGGAAGTCTGTGTTTCAAAGTGTAGAAATTTGGGATTTCTTACTGTATTAGTCTATTCTCACGCTGTTATGAAGAACTGCCTGAGTTCCTCTGGCCCTCTGGTGAGCTGAGAGGTTTTGCAAGAAAAAAAAAGTGCCTGAGACTGGGTAATTTATAAAAGAAAGAGATTTAATTGACTCACAGTTCCACATGGCTGGGGAGGCCTCAGGAAACTTACAATGGTGGCAGAAGGGGAAGCAAACATGTCCATCTTCACATGGCGGCAGGAGAGGGAAGTGCCAAGCAAAGGGGGAAAAGCACCTTATAAAACCATCAGATCTTGTGAGAATTCACTATCATGAGAACAGCATGGGGGCAACCACTCCCATAATTCAGTTAACTCCCACTGGGTCCCTCCCATGACATATGGGGATTATGGGAACTACAATTCAAGATGAGATTTGGGTGGGGACACAGCCAAACCATATCACTTACATAGACAAAGTTTAGGGGTGCTTAACAGAAGTTCAACATCTTTCTGTATAAGGCTTAATGCATAGTTACAATGATCTGATTAGTCAAGGTGGTGTTTTTCTTTTGGGAAAGGTATATTTAACATTCCACACTGAAGATGTAACAGTCATGGTGTTTTTTGGGTCATCTGGTCTGAGTTAGGTACAGGACAATAAAGGAGGTGGTTAATCTGTAACAAAGATCTTCAATAGGAAGGAGAGAAGTCCTGGTCTCTGGTCTGTCCTAGTCATTTACAGAATAAGAGCAATAAAGAAGAGAGTTAATCTATAATCCAAGAAACAGAAGTTGCAAACATAATATGTGACTCAGTCTCCAGGACTTAATTTTCCCCTTGGCGTAATATAGAGGGTCCTAAAATTTATATTCTTTTATAAAAGTGATGGTAATGTCTTTAGCTACTAAGGAGTAATTATGGGAAAGACTTTTAGATTATTTTTCACCACATTTAACAAATTGACTAGAATGATTTCCATACTGAATATTTATAAGAACCTTTAAAAATCTTTGTTTTCCCTTGGCATTGTTTCAAGAACTCCCCTGTCCCCCTTCCCAGCCATTGCCTTTAGTAAGCAATTGCTGGCTGGGAATCACCTGCCCTCTTTGTACTTCTCTCCTTCATCAGGTGGGTTGCCATGTTGCTGCTAATGACCTGGATAAGAACATTTTCTTTAAGCCATAGGCCTCCTCTCTCCCCCTTGCACCGCCTACCCCCTCCCACTGTTAAGAATCCAGATCATAGTCACAAAATCTCATGTTTGCAAGGGCCAGACTGCTAACCTAAAGAAATGATGCAGCTCATGTAGAACAGTGGGAAACTAGAAAATTGGATAGCACTTGAGGGGGATGGGGCCCCTGTTTCTCATACTCCAGCCTTTTGTTACTAGATGGTGTGTGGACAAAGAATTGTCAGAAATTCTGATTTTTCAAAAAAATTTTTATATATAAAAACAGATTGATGTGATATTTTCTGATTTTTAAAACTTTATGTGGACTGTAAATTATTGTAGCCTTCCAATTTTTAATCCTATCCCCATCTGGACCTTGGCTGGTGGCTGGAGTTGGCTTGGTCTAGTGCTGAAGACCCAGACACCAGTACCCAGAACAGACCCAGGTCAGCGACGCACCTGCATATTCTTCCCTCCAGACATCACAGCCGGGACCTTCATCATCCCCAGGCAGGGCATCTGTTGGGATATCCTGCGCCATGGTCTACAGGAACATAGATGCTTCAACATGACCGTGCAGCTGGAGTAGAAGTTGTGTGTGTCTAGGGGAAGCAGAGGCAGAACTAAAATGGTGTCAGAGGCTATAGTATAGACTTTTGGAGTGGGAGTTTGGAATGTTTTCCCATGGAAATAATGGAAGTACGGGTTCTACATTAGGATCATTTTCATTCCATCACCTACCTTCTTAGTTTAATAGGTTTTAAAGCAATGACTGTGATATTTAACAGCTACTTTTAACTTTTTGAGTTTAGGGAAAATGTGTTTCTGAGTTCCAAAGACCTGAACTATAAATAAACTTTTGGGGGTCTATTTGAGTTCTATGTATGAATAGTCATTCTGCATTACAAGGATGCATAATATAAAATTTAAAACAGCTTGTCAACAATGAAGAATGAAATACGAGCACCCCCCCACAGTCTGTTTCTAATCATTTTCATTCATTTATGAGATTTAAATGCCTCAAATACTTTAACAGAATTATATGTTTATCCTTGGGTTGAACTAGTTGTTGTCTCTTTGAGGGTTTTCAACTCATTAAAGAATTCTTTAGGAGCACTATGAAGAGAATGCCTTCAGAAAGACTCATTAAAAAGGAGAAGCTGACCTGGAATATCATTAATGTTAAATATTGCAAATTGATGTAAGTGGTAAAATAGTATCAATAGAATCAGTATGTCATACTTCTTAGTTTCAGGAATTAAACTGGTCTTACATTTGGTCCTACATCAAAGACTAACAAGGCATGGTGTTCACCTTTTTTCTCATAAAATATATTTTAAAAATACTAAACCTCTTCTAAAAGCTGACTTATTTTCAGCTAAAGCATCTATTATATATAGCCATATCGTAATAGTGGGTTTTTCAATAGGAAATTGCTCTTCAATTAATGCGGAGTTGGACAAATCCTACATATAACTTTTCTAAGCCTCAGTTAACTCATCTGTAAAATTGCTATAACATTAGGTGGTTTCAATCATACTCAATGAGATAGGATATGTAAATTATTATACTGTCTAGTATGTAGATAACATTTAATATGTGGTTGCTATTGCTGATATTATTATTTGTTTGGTTCAGGTCCATTGAAGCCATTCTGGGACTCTGGCTTTTAGTTTCAATTTTTTATCTTGTGTCTTTTGTTATATTTTTTAATATCTTTATTTAGACAAAATTTACATACCCTAAAATTCACTCATTTAAAGTATACAATTCAATAGTAAATTTTTAGAACTATGCAACCATGACCACAATCTAAGTTTAAAACATTTTCATCACCCACTGAAAAAAATCCTTGTACCTGTTAGCAATCACTCACCATTCCTCTCCCCCACAATTTCCTACAGCCCCAGGCAACCACTTTCTCTCTATATAGATTTGCCTATATTTCTGGACATTTCATGTGAATGAAATTATATGATAGGACTTTTGTGATTGATTCATTTCACTTAGTATAATGTTTTCAAGGTTTATGTTGTAGTATATATCAATACTTTATTTCTTTTATTGCCATATATTGCTGAAAATATACCATATTTTATTTATCCACTCATCAATAGACATTTGGGTTGTTTCTACTCTTTATGATGAATAATGTTGCAATGAATGTTCATGCAAGTTTTAAGGTAGACATATGCTTTGATTTCTCTAGGAATGGAAATGCTGGGTCATATGGTAACTCTATGTTTTACAATTTCAGTAACTGCCAAAATGTTTCTTCAAAGTGGCTACATGTGCCATTTTACATTCCTGCTAGTAATGAGTGACAGTTCCAATTTTTCCATATCCTCACCAATACTTGTTCTTTTTCATTTTTAAATTATAACCATCCTAGCAGATGTAAAGTGTTACCTCACTGTGGTTTTAATTTACACCTTACTAATGACTAATGATGTTGAATATCTTTATATGTGTTTACTGCTTTTGTATATCTCTTTGGAGAAATTGCTATTCAGATTCTTTGCCCATTTTGTAGTTGAGTTAATTGTCTTTTATCACTGAGTTGTAAGTGTTCTTTATATATTCTGGAGATGAGTCCCGTATCATATATGTGATTTACAAATACTTTCAATGCATTCTGTAGGTTGTCTTGATATTGTTTTTATTAAGGCATAAATCTGAACTGTCTTATCCTTCTATATTTAATGCTTTCATGTCCTCTTCACTGATTTACACAAACTTTCTTTCCAGCCTCTCTTTCTCTACCTTGCTCTCCAGTCTGTGCATGAGCCCCTTCAGGTCCCTGAGGAATACCTAAAGCCATATGATTTTATCCAAGACAAGAACAGGCATTACTATGCAGGAATGGTGTCCCTTATGGATGAAGCAGTCGGAAATGTCACTGCAGCCTTAAAAAGCCATGGGCTCTGGAACAACACGGTGTTCATCTTCTCCACAGGTAAGTCTGTCAATAGGAAAATCATCTCTTGGCAAAGCCTAGGACATGGTATTTGATAAGTGGAATGAAGACAAATTGGCGTGGTTAGCATTGCCTTATTAAAATAAATGCAAACTGCAATAGTGGAGACATGATAATAATGGATGGAAAGGTGTATCTAAGGAAAAAGAATGATGGGCTTCCCCTGTTCCTTCAGATATCAAAATATTTGGGGACTGTGGCTTGTAAACACATGTTTACTAACCAAGTAAGTGTGAGTGGACATCACTCATATGCAGGGCTGCTGGGTAGTGAATCCCTAGAGTGGCTTGTTCCCAGCTCTCCGTCCAACCCAGGCGTCTTCAATGGCCGTGACTCCTACTGACTGGAGGGGTCTCTGTATCACTGCAAAGAGACAGATTTTGACATGAAGACAGATAAATTAATGGAGCCATTTAAATCTACACTAGTGTCTTCAAGTTTGGATTTTTTTTTTTTTTGTATTAAAATTGTTTTCGGGGCCAGGCACAGTGACTCACGCCTGTAATCTCAGCGCTTTGAGAGGCTGAGGCAGGTGGATCACCTGAGGTCAGGAGTTTGAGACCAGCCTGACCAATATGGTGAAACCCGTCTCTACTAAAAATACAAAAATTAGCTGGGCGTGGTGGTGGGCACCTGTAGTCCCAGCTACTCAGGAGGCTGAGAGAGGAGAATCACTTGAACCCAGGAGGCAGAGGTTGAAGTGAGCCTCAGTTGCACCACTGCATTCCAGTCTGGGCAACAGAGTGAGATTCCGTCTTAAAAAAAAAATTGTTTTCTGACAATAAAAGTTATATATGTTATTATAGGAAAAATAGAAAAGGGCTGGGTGCGGTGGCTTGTGCCTGTAATCCTAGCACTTTGGGAGGCTGAGACAGGTAGATCACAAGGTCAAGAGATTGAAACCATCCTGGACAACACGGTGAAACCCTGTCTCTACTAAAAATACCAAAATTAGCTGGGCCTGGTGGCATACGCCTGTAGTCCCAGCTACTGGGAGGCTGAGGCAGGAAAATTGCTTGAACCTGGGAGGCAGAGTTTGCAGGAGTTTGCAGTGAGCTGAGATCTCGCCACTGCACTCAAGCCTGGTGACAGAGTGAGACTCCATCTCAAAACAAAAAAAAAAAAAAGGAAAAGAAAGAAAGAAAAGAAGAAGGGAAATAGAAAACTCATAATCTCAGAGATTACTTTTGAAAATCATTTTCATTCTGACAATGCCATTCTGATTCCTAATCTGTTGCATATGTGACTTCCCCCCTCACTAGGCACCGTTTTCTAAAATTTCACTATAATGTGCTTTGGGCGTTGATCTTCGTTTATTCATCATGCTGAGCACTCAGAGAGCACCTTCAATCTGAAAATGCAGATCCTTTTGTTATGGGGAATTTTCTTATATGATTTATTTCGAAATTGTGTGGCCCTCCATCCCACCTTCCCTTATTTTATCTGTACAGAATTCCTGTTACTTGGTTACTAGATCAATCCTCTAATTTTTCTTAGTTTTTTCCCTCTCTCCTATTTTCTTTATTTTTCTTCTACTGTTTGGGAAATCTTATTGTTTTGTAAGCTTTCTATTGAATGTATTTCAACCACCGTGTCTATTAATTACCAACAACTCTTTTGTGTTTTCTGATAATTCCTTTTTTGTAAAGTTCTTTTTTTAATTTATGGATGTTATAACTTGTTTTCCCAAAGCCTGTGCTCTTAACCATTACTCTTGTGTGTGTCTGTATATATGTATGTATATACATTTTTTTAAAGTTTGCTGATATTGCCAGCATTATCTCTCTTCCTCTGAGTTCTGTTTTTTCAGTTTGTTTATGTATTTGTTTCAGTCTGTCTTTAATGAGAGTGGCTTGGTTTTCTCAAATCCCTAGAGATACTTGGCTAAAATCTAACAATTTGATTAGAAACTCCAAGTGCTAGGTCAGGGCTTGTCACCTGATGACTTTTACTGTAAAATGACCATGTAGGGGTGAGGTGACATGTTGAGGAATTAATCTTGGTATTCTACTCATTGCTTTGTCGTTTCGTTTTTTACGTGCTGTTTTGTTTTGCTTTCAATCTGGCTTACATATTGAATCTGGCATTTGTTGAACAGTTACTATGTGCGGGATGTAGTTCTAAGTGCCTCCTGCGAATTAGTTCAATGAATCCTCATGATAATGAATTCTCTGAGAACTATTATTGTCCCATCTTGCAGATGTGAGAACCAAAGCACCAAGAGCATAAGCACCTTACTGCAGGTCACCCAGCCAGGCGGAGCCTGGCTCCACTTGCAATATCTGTCTCCCGAATGATCATCTCAATGTTCTTATAGGACCTCATGATACAGCAGAGCTTTCCATATGATGTGCTGCAGTATTGATCTACTGAGAAGCCTGGGCAGGGCCGGAATAGCATTTACCCTGAGCAGCCTTGTTCACTTGCATGGATGCTAACCAAATACTGTAATTTTCTAAATATGTCCTGCTGTGAAAAAGGTTAAAATTTGTTTTTCTCCCAAAACTTACCCTTCAGAAAAAAAGAGAGACACACTTCAGTCCTTACAAGATCTCTCAGATTCTGGGAGGCATTCTCAATTTAATTTATTTTGAATATCCTGGTAAAGCATTTTGGTCAGTGCTGGTTTTGAATGCCCAGAGAAGTCACCAGAAATAATCATTTTTTAAAAAGATACTAGGACACTTAACACTGATATAGTAAAATTATTCCTGGGAAGTGACCTCATCGTTACAAGACTTGGAAGTCATAAGTTTACAAAACAAGTCTTTGTTGTGGAGATCACAATTATACAATTTCAGGACAAATGATTTTCTGAAGTAAAAGTATATATAGATTAATGTATTGTACATGGGCTTAAATGTGCTCAAACAGAAGTGAAGATGCTAGTTCTGGAAGACTGTTTTAAATATCTCCAAGTGGCTCCTCTGATAACATTCTCATCAAGAATGCATGAGAGGCTGAGTGTGGTGGCTCGTGCTTGTAATCCCAGCAATTCGGGAGGCTGAGGCAGCAGATCACTTGAGTTCAGGAGTTCAGCACCAGCTTGGGAAACATGATGAAACCCTGTCTCTACAAAAAATACAAAAATTAGCCAGGCTTGGTAGCATGTGCCTGTAGTCCCAGCTATTCAGGGGGCTGAGGCAAGAGAATTGCTTCAGCCTAGGAGTTTGGGGCTGCAGTGAGCTGAGATCATGCCACTGCACTCCAGCCTGGGTAACAGAGCAAGACCTTGTCTCAAAAAAAGAAAAGAAAAGAAAAGAGATCTTGGTATTCTACTCATGGGAAAAGGTGGAATACAATTTTTTTCATGATATTGGAGAATGGAAAATATTTTAAGATAAATATTTCCCTTATATGATTTCAGATGTGTATGCTTAATTGTACTTTCAAACAGATAGTTGACTGTTTCATAAATATCTATATTTATTCAAGCTGGTGGTAATAATATTTGGAGCTTCTCACTGAGAAAATGGGGATCACCTTAAAATAGGGTTGTCTTATATTTTAATACTATATTAATAGATGTCTTAATCTTGGACCATGTTTGTTAGGCTAAATCCAACTTGATCGTGTGTATGTGTTTTTATTATACGGATGAATTCAGTTTGCTAGGGTTTTATTTAGGATTTTTGCATCAATCAGAAGTGAAAGTGGAGTTAGCTTTTTTGTGTCTGGTTTTGTTGTCTTGGTTATACTCACTTCATAAAATAATGTGGTTAGTTTTTCCATCTGTTTCTATGCTCTGGAATAGTTTACAGACTGTTGAAAAGATCTTTCTGTTTAGCTGGTCCCTGAAGCCTTTTGTGGAGACATTTTAAAAATTATTTCCCTACTTTACATTTTTTGCTGAATTATATCTAGGTGTGTGTCTTTAAAATGTTTTAAAATTAATTTTGCCTGAAATATAGTGAGCCCTGGAACTGCATGCTGAGATGATTATTCACTCCAGGAGGCTTTCCTTATTCATATTTTAGCTTATTGTTTTTGTTCTACTTGATTTATTTCTCAAAAATATCTTTAATTACTATGCTGAATCACTGATTCAGCCTTTCTCTCATCCTTTTTTAAATATTTTTCCTTTTTCTCAGACTTTGGAGCTCTTCTGCATTACCAGTTTAGACACTTTTGCAGTTTTAATCCTATGCTTTAATATCTCCAATATAGATTATTATTATTTATATTTTTAGTTTTTTTGCAGTGCTGTCTTTGTCTCAATCAGTATTCTCCTCTTCCAAGCTTGTTAGTATAGTAGTGACCACTATTTAATAAGCATTAAAGCTCAGTGTAACCCTGTGAGATAGCAAGTGGTTTCTTGATCCCCATTTACCAATGAAGAAATCAAAACTTCTTTTTCAGAAATTAAAAAAAAAATAAAAGTAGGATCTTGCTATGTTGCCCAGGCTGGTCTCAAACTCCTGGGCTCAAGTGATCCTCCCACCTCAAACTCCCAAAGTGCTAGGATTATCAGTGTGAGCCACCTAAAGAAATTAAGCAATTAGCCTAAGGCCACACAGCTAACAACTGAAGAAGCCAGAATTCAAACCCAGAGCTACCTGCTTACCCTAATACAGTTGTCTTTTTGCATCTCATTTTCTTTTCCATTTATTTCATCCCATTGCCCTGCATTTCTATACTTCTGTTTACAGAAGTGTAGAGCCCATCCTTTTCCTGAGCCTTTCTGAATAGAACTTTTCTAAAATCTTTATTTTTATAAGAAGTCATGGCAAGCTAGATGCTCTTTCTCAGAGCATAGGTGGTGAAGGATCTGCACACACAGAATGTGTGGCCATCTTGTGGCCTCTGGTCACTGTTCTCTGGTTGATTCCTCCAGATCTGCAGCTTGAAGTCAGGTTGATGCATATAACTCAGAGTTCCTGGCGGTGTATAAGCATTAAGTGTTATACTCTATTGAATCTGATCCACCTAGTTACAGTTTCTTCTCTCTTGGCTCCCTAATTCTTTGACAGGCTAAAAGA